TATTGCCCTCTATGGCAAGACAGGGCCAATAGAGATAGTTCATGTTTTTAGCCTGCAGCATGTAGCCAATGACATGAATTAACATACACAGAATGGATACTTTGATTGGTAGAAGGATAGGATTAGATATTTGTTTTTTTTTACCAACAGGTTATTTTATTCTAATGAAAAGCATATAAACAGGTTCTCCAAAATATGGACAACCATTGGGTCCTCTTGAACTTTCCCACACTAGGACTGCCAGGTATTAAAGTGTTTCTTAATACCAAGGTTATACGCCCTTCAACAGCGAGTATATTTAAAATGAATTTTAAATAAGGCAATGATGAAACAAAGTAAGCAACAAACAGAAGCTGACGTGCCGTTTTTTGGCCAGGATTAGGTGCCGTGCTAAATACACAAGCATTTAACAAATGTTCATCAAGGCAAGTTTATGCTAGCGCACGGATCCCAATTATCCTTCAATTATAAACTATTTGCAGATTATCCAATTCCGATTCCTAAATTTTATTTCAATATTCCATCTAATTAGACTTACAACCATCATTCAAGTCACACATGGATGAAGACAAGTGACTCATTTCACAGATGTACCAACTCTTATTACTGCAACTTACATAAGCCAGCATGCTTTTTGTCAAGCAACAGTGCACAGAACTAAGCAGTCAACACACTCAACAGAAAAATTCAAAAAGCTTTAGGATAAAAAAAAGTACTCACAAGCAAGATTAAGCAAATATCTAATAGATTGAAAAAAGTATCCAAAAGTGTTAAATGACAACTTAACACTTATTTCATATTATGTACAAGCAGGACAGACCTACAGATATGCATTATGCCCAAATATAACAACCAATCGTTCAAAATATGTGTACATTTGGGCTTCATCATTATAGTAGAGAGCAATGTGGGCTAACATAAATCAAGCTTTCACTGACTTCATTGAACACATTGATTAAGTAACAAGGGTTACTGCACTTTACACATTGTCTTTGCTCTTTGTACTGCTGTTTAAATAAGCTTAATAGCATAGAATGCAGATGCTAACTTCCTACGACCACTACTGTCATCTCAGATAACAGAAGTAATTAAATGTTATAAAATCAATACTTGCATGATATTATATTGAGCTACAGATACTTATAAGGTTATTGAGTATATTATAACCAAAGCTTTCAAAGAGTACTTTAATGCCCTTTAAGACACCAATTCGTGAAGAAACGGTATTCTTTCTAAATGGATGATAAAAAAATTTGTTTTTTGTAAGCTACAAGCATGTAAAAAAGTGTATTAGTTATAAAAATGAATCATCAGCTATCGATATAAAGTAAAGCCTTTAAAAGTCAAAGACTTTCCATTCCTTGACTTATGCAGGAGTTAACCAAAGGCTTTAATGTAATCCCAGACTTATCAGTATGTAAGAGATAATAACAGCAGTCACCGCTGGACCCAATAGGGTGAAAACAGAGACTAACGTTTAACAAGAACATTAGACCCTTTAAAATGATGCATACCTCTATTTAGTAATTGACAGATGGCTGAATTTGGAGCACTGCTGCTATCCAGCTACAAGCAGTGCCAATGTTACAGTCAGCCTTGAAAAGGTGCATCTCACCTGCAGCACAAAGAACTCCCTCCCCTAAAGCAAGAACATACTTACTTTACTCTCAATAGATCTGTACAGTACTCTGAAAAGTAAAGTTATACTGAAATCAATAGGTCTTACTTCTAATCCTACAGGTCTGACTTTCCTAGGTATCAACATAACAAACCTTTGGCAAGGTTACTATAATTATTTTTGGCTGTTTAGGTCTACACACTATCCCTCTAAAGCGGAGGCAATGCCAAAAGCCAGCAGCAGTTGGAAGAGCATTCCAATTACTGTGATGCCGGCTTGCAATAAGAATATAAAGACATTTTCTGTCTGCTTAAAAATGAAGATAAGGTACAACTTATTCCCTGTCCACAAAGAATTATGGGAGTTTGAGTTTAGCAACAACTGGAGTGGCATTAACTACTCCCTGTGATATTTCCACTCCAGCACAGTACACACCAACAATGAGCACAGGACTTTTAAAAATGTTCAATCTTTTAACCTTGAGCCTTGGTTTACAATCAGCCAATTCACAATTCAATGGACACAACGCAATCAACTCACAAAGCTTACACTCCAGGATAAGGATCCTTATTTGTTTTTAAAAAAAAGTGACATTCATTTTTATCACAGTCCAATGAGATTTAAAAAATGACAGTCACATGACTACAATAAAGCTTATTATCCCGGGGTAAAAGCTTTGTAAATTGAGCCTTACAGAAAGAAGCCACAAAGCCTCTACTTCAATAATGCAATCCTCCCCAAAAAGTATTTTTGGTTGGAGCTGGATTGCTCTCTGTGAATGAAATGGGAAAAGGCTGGATGGCTCCTTTAAGCTTAGAGGCATCAGTAGAGAAGAATTGAAGAACAAAGTGTCAGAACCCTGGTTGAGGTCATCAGCTGATCTCTCCTTACCTTTAGCTGCGAGGACACTGCAGACAACACCCAGGAAGAAAACAGCTGTCACCCACTGAACTGACATCCTTCCGATAGGAAAGTGCAGACAATCCCTCTCCCACTATCTGCTCCTGATCGTGCAAGAAACACACAGTCTGCTGGAGGGTGATGGGATCTCCTTAAATCACAATGTAGGATGCTGCTCCTTCTTCAGCTTCTGCTATGTTGTGCCTGTGCAGGGAGTGACAGAGGATCAGTGTCTCCGCTGCTCTCTCTCCCAGTCCCCCTTGCAATGCCTTGCTAGTGATGCCCAGTAATTCTCAGCTCTCTGCTGCTATTTCTTCTTTGGAGCTGTCTGCTGGCAATTTAAATCCCCCAGTAAGGCTCTCTACTGCCATCTACTGGGTGCTTCGGATTTCCCTTTCTCCTTACTACTAATGGATTCAGATTTCGCATCTTTAAGCCTTGATTCACACCTGAGTATGTTGTAGATTAAACCCAGGTTCACACCTTCGCATTGCAAGAACGCATGCCAAAGTTTGCTTTCATGGGTGTTCACGCAATGCATCAAAAAAGTACAATGCTCTTGCTGTGACGTTACTTGTTAATGGCATCCCAAAAGTGGTCTGTAAAATGTGTGTTTTCTCCCATGTGTGGATGCACATCAAACTTGCACAAACGCGCAGGGGAAAAAAGTGGCATGCTCGCAACTGAAAATTCTGCATGATACTTTGGCGCGTTTGTCGCACATGCATCAGCCCATTAATTAGTTGATCAATGGCACCCCCACACATGGTCAGTAAAAAACATGTTTTTCCCCACGCATGGACGTGCATCACATTTATGGGGTAAAAGTAGCACCCTCGCAGCTGAAAATTCTGCTTGAGATACTTTGCCACATTTGTCGCACGTGCAGCAGTCCATTGATTACTTGTTAATGGCAACGCAAAATGTGGCCAGCAAAAAGCATGTTTTTCCCCATGCATGGACGTGCATCACATTTGTGGGGAAATAGTAGCACGCTCACAGCTGAAAATGCTGCATGAGATACGTTGCCAAGTTTGTCATGTGTGTAGCCGCCTATTGATTACTCGTTAATGGCATCCCAAATGCGGCCGATAAAATACGCAATAGTCCCGCATTCATGGATGCATGTCAAATGTGCGGGGTAAAAGCACTGCATGAGCTACTTCATTTGTCACATGTGCAGCAGCCCATTGATTACTTGTTAATGGCACCCCAAATAAGGATGGTTAAACGTACATTTTTCATACGCATGGATGCGCATGAAACATGCAGAAACACATAGGATGTGGCACATTTGTTACATTTGTTGTTTGTTACTGGCACCACAAACGCAGCCGGTAAAATTTGCATCTTTCTCACGTGTGAACCCGCATCAAATGTGTTGGTAAAAACACGGCACACTCGCAGCTGAAATTCCTGCATGAGCTACTTTGCCACTTTTGTCGTGACTGCAGGCAGCCCATTGATTAGATGGGCTGATGTGTAGCAATGGCAGAAAAAAATGCATGCGAACATGCACAAACATGCATTTGCGTACGCATGCATTCCTGCAGCGTGAAGGGTGAATGGGGCCTGTAACTCAAAGCTCCAAAACGCTCAGCAACCAAAATCCCATGCTTTTAAATTGTACCTGTTCACATATGAGTGCTCAGGCACCTTTAGCTCAATGCCTGGATCTCAAAAAGGTAGTTTTGAAGAAGAATGGGGCGTTTTTTTGCCCCATAGACTTCAAAATTGCCTGAAAATTAGCATTTTTAAGCCTAAACAACCATCTCCCTTTCCTATTGTCTAGCTTTGCATTGGATAAAACAAAAATTCTCAAACCGTAACACACCTGAAAAAAAAGCACTAATAAAAAATGCTTCACCCCTTTAGAGCCAAATTTGTACCACACCTACTTTATATGTGTTACATGTTCCTGTTCACATAGGATGAATTAAATAAAAATATGGAAACATATGAAAAAAATTAAAATATGTAAAAATTGCCATACAACCATGGCTATCTTCCCCGCGTGTAGTGTTATAGGATATCTCCGGGGAATAAAAGAAAAATGACTCCAACAGTGGCACTAACCCTGCTCTACAAGGGTTAACTGCTTGTTAACATCTAGGGGAGCTGTATACAGGACGTATACTTAGCTGACCCCTTTCCCCCCCCGACACTTATCTCAATCCTCCTACGTTCTGGCATGTAAACTGTCCCTCAGCGACCTCACACGTAACGCAGGACAATGCACCCCACATTGTACGTGATGATGACAATGGGTCTCTGACTTGAGATCTAATACCATGTGTTAACCCTTTGTTAGGACAGACAGTGTGCACATCTAGTCTACAACGGATAATATCTACCAGCACAGTACAGGCAGAGTTAAAGAAGCAAAACTCCAGGCAAAATTTGTATTAACCCTTGCAGTGGGGCTACCCTCCCAAAGCCCGGCATTGTGGAGACTGCATACCAATACACAAATGTTTTTTGATGTCTATATGCTTCCTAAGAAAAAAAAAGAAAGGGCTATATCAAATAAAAAAATCTTATTCATACACAAATCGTAAAATCACCATGCGAGTTAAAACACTTAAGCCCAGGACTGCTCAGACCTATGCAAAAACCAACTTTGAGAAAGTCAGTATTTGCATAAAGACCTTCCAAGAGCTCGTCAGTTCTAGCACCTTAAAGAACAACTCCAGTTAAAACGTTTATTAACCCCTACACTGCAAGGGTTAACCGCTCATTTTGGTCTAGGGAGGAAAACAAAAAAGTTATACTCACCTGAACCTCGGAGTCAGCCGGCTTAGACTGGTCCTTCCTGCATCTCTGCCCCTCCACATCCACGGTCTAAGGTCCCTGAGTCATCACGTTCTATACACAGTCTATAGGATGTGATGACGCTCCATTGCTGGAGAGGAGGAGAGAGGCTGTAGGGTGTGCTGTCACAGCTGGCTGGCTCGGAGGATCGGGTCAGTATATTTTTGCTATTTCTCTCCCTTGACCAAAATGTGCACTGAACCCTTGCAGTGTGGGGGTAGCCTCACTGCAAGGGTTAAAGGAGAACTATGGGGTTAAGGTTTTCCCCAATAGTTCTCCTTAGGGTAACGGGAGGACACAAACTAGCGTCCTCCCATCACCCTAGGCTCAGTATACCGCGAGTTGTATCTCGCGGTATACTGAGACGCCGCAGCTGAAGCGGATCCCGACAATTGTGCAGGGATCCGCCCAACTGCGTGAATGACAGCTGGCTCTGCCTATCTAGAGGCAGAGCCAGCTGTACCCGCCCCCTCCCCCGTCCGTTCCGCCAGTCAGCGCTGGCGGATCGGAGCGGGGAGGGGGGAATTCAGCCCCTCCCCTGTCACGGCAGAGAGCTGTGACAGGATCGAGAGGTGAGCGAACGCCGGTATGTGTTCTACTGAGCCGACCTGTGACAGTCTCATTGTCACAGGTCGGCTAGAACTATGAGGTGAGTGGAAAGCACTCACCTCATAGTTCTCCTTTAATGAAAACTTTGCCCAGAGTTCTTTCATTATTGCCAAACATAACTCTCAGCCTTCTCCTTAACATTTCTTTAGAAGGGAAAAGCTAGGAAAGATTTTTCTGTGAATAAAAAGGTAAGCAGCAATTTTTAAATAAGTTATGTGAATGTAACAAATACAAAGCAGCAGGTGTTATGGCAACTGGAAATAAACTTAAAGATTGTGGATAACTACTACATTATCATGGAATGTAGTATAATTGTAAATAGCAGGTAAAAGTAACATGCTTACATAAAGGAACGAATAACGGAGGGGACAGGAAATATTGACTCACTACCGTGCTGGAATATGGAAGCAGTGCAGTCAGATAAATTGATTGGTTTTAATTGGCCAATTCTGAGTTCTCTGTAGCCTTGCAGGCAGGACATTATTCATGCAGCTATGTAAAAAGCTTTGTTTTAAGTCTTTCAAAAGTCCTACTTCCTTGGTGGCATAAGAGTTCACAAAATACAATATAGGTGGAACTCAATAAACTTGTTCATACAGACTTAAACATGAACTCTATCCTCATCTTTAAAATAACAACAATGGCACCTTTACAAATGTTTAGTAACGACAATCTACAAACAGATACTTCTAGATAATTGCCGGCTTTGTATTTCCCTTTTCTTCCCCAGTCCTCTGACAGTGGCCGTGTTTACTAAGGGCAGATAAATCCATCTCCCTTTACTTCCTGGAACTCTGGCACATGTGACTAGGACATGTGACCATGCACATGTGACTAGGAAGAAAATGCCTTTTCCTGAGATCTTGTGAGATTACAGATGAGATTTCCCAGCAATGGTTTGCTGATGCAACCTTCCCAGAATGCAATGTTTGGGCACGATTGCATTATTTGTGCCAAACTGGATCAGGAAGGGGATGCACTCTATTCGTAAGTTAATGAAAAGCATGTTTGTTTAACCCCATCACGACCAGTGACCTCCCCCGACCCGACACCCCTTCCGTGTTTCCTGGGCTCCGCTAACCCTCCAACAGGCCCGCAATCGGCTTCTTAGGTGTCGGGGGATGCTGGGGAGGAGAGCGGCAAATGTCCATCCACCAGTCTCCTCCCCGTTCCATGGGACCAGGAGCGATGCTGATTACATCATTTCGGTCCCATAGCTCTCATTGCTGGGCTCCTGAAGCCCAGCAATAAGCTATTGAAGTGCAATCTGCACTTCAATAGCTTATTTAGAGTGTAAAGGTGACACTGGGGGTCTTTTGGACCCCCAATATCCCCTTAAAGAGTACCTATCACCACCAGTCTGCTATCACATGGGGGGCTTGTAAGCCCCCTATGTATTGCAATTAAAGTAAAAATAAAATATTCTCATAGGGGCCAAACGGCAGTAAGTAAATAGCCGAATGCCACCAAGTGGCATTCGGCTTGGCTATTCTGCTTGGTACCTCTGAGGTAGCGAGCAGAATAGAAAATAAGTTAAATGAAAAAAAAAGTTGAAAACTATTTTAATCACCGTTTAATTATAACGGCCGGCCGGGAGCCTCCTGGATGTAACAGGCTGTCTAAAGACGGCCTGTTAGCCCCGCCCACTCGCACGCGTCCATAACTGGGGGAAACTGGCAAAATTAAAAAACAGGCAGCGATGCCTGTTTACATACAAGCAATCTGCCGGCTATAGAGCTCGGGACCAGCATGGTAGCTCTGTGACAGGGGATCAGAGGGAGACCGGTACACAATCTCCCTCTGGTCCCCTCTCCGCTGTCAGAATGCGGAAGTGATTTAGCAGACCTCTGCTTCATCAGCTTCTTTGGGGT